CGTTCGTTTTAAAGTTGATATTCGTAATCAGCGCAAAAAACTGCGTCTAATGATGTGCTTTTAAGGGTGATCTGAGAGAAAAAATATCGTTCAACCCACCACAGCTGAGGGTGACAGTTACGCGTTTTAGCCGAATGACTAAACTGATTTCCCTTGTTTTAGCAATATTAGAACGAATAATGCAAAATGATTTAAATCAATCGTCTACAATAAATACTACCACATTAAGACGTTTTACAGTTGATAGAAGTGCATTTGAAATTCGTCAATTAATACAAAGTATGTTAGAAAATTGTTCATTTGAAATGCGTTTATTAGAAACAACAAATCGTCTTTTAAAACGTGATTTATATGATAATGTTAATCAATTAAATTTGATATCAAATAAAAGTATACCAATTCGAATACAATTATGTTTCTATTGTCATAAAACATTCTACGATAATAGGAAAAAATTTGTTATATTTGCTTGTAAACATACATTTCATACAAATTGTTTAATTAATATTAAAAATGAATGGAAAAAATTTAATTCTACAATAACAACAACAACAACAATGAATAGTAAATCAATTAATATATTTGATTATTGTCCAGAATGTTCAAAATTATCGATGATTAATTCATCACAAACTACAGTGACTAATAGTAATCAAAATCATTTAACACATCTATCTATTGGTGATTTTTCTATAGAAAATGAAAATGAAAATGAAAATGAAAATGAAAATGAAAAAGAAAAAGAAACAATATCAACTATACAACAACAAGTGATTGAAACAATACTTGAACGAAAACGATTGAATGTTCATCAATTATTAATTAATGATGATAATAATAACAATGATGATTATACAAATAATCAATCAGTTCTATTAACAATAAATTCTTTTCTTCCACAAAACTATCTAAGAAAAAATACAATGGATTTAGTACCTAATAAATGGCGAGAATATTTATCACAGACAAATAATTGATGATTTGTTTATTTTATCATTTTAATATTAATTTGACATAAAATTATGTTCAATCGTTATCCATATTTTCTTTTTCTTTACTAGTCAAATGTTTAATTAATGTGCAATACAATTTATTCTATACGAAGGATTATGTGTTTGAGTATGATAATGATCGTACTACTAATCTTCTTCCACTATGTACATACGAATTTCAATTTTATGCATTTTTAGTAAATCGATTTTTTTTGTTTGCTAGATATATTTCTTTTTTTTTCTATCTATTTTTAGACGAATTTTTTACTATGAGACTTTCCA